TTTCGGAGGCATATCTCTTTAATATAGGCTACGTTTCAGGAGGAGGTTGTTGTTATTACTGCACCACTCGAAACCAGTGGAGTTCACCAGTTTCCAGTCTCCTCACCCCTGTTGACACACCCCACAGAGTCTGAGAATTTCTGCTGGTGATGCAGATGTCTGTCAGATCACAGTTGTCAGTGATCCGGCAGGTCATGGCTGTGTCCACCTGCATCCTTATCAACTTCTTTGAATTGTGTTGAAGGCACCTGATATTGGTTAGGTCTAGGCACTAAAACATGTCAACATATCAGCAGTTTGCACCTTTGTTTACCTGGGTTTTCTCCTGGATCTCTGCTTACTTAGCGTAATGCCACCTATGTCAGCCCTGAGCACTCGGTCAGTCACTTTCTGGTTAAATAAAGGTTAAAACTAGATAAATAAGTCAAATCAAATATGGGTGGGCCCTCAAAACACAAATCAAATCCATATGAGATGAGTTAGGACTGGGGCCTCTCACTACAGTGAAAAACACCAAAAATGCTATATAATATATAAATTATACACCAGATTTAGTTGAGGGAAATCACAGATTAGTGATTAGAGTGCATTACTTTCAGCTAAGTGTGGGTAATGTGGGGTGGCTGGAGCTGTGGTTCAATCCCAGGCTGCTCCAGTCTGCGTGCCAAGTATCCTTTGGCTCGCAGACTGGATAATAACCCCTGATGGATGCTCTCCGATGCATCCATCAGAGTGTCAATGTGTGTGAATGTTAGATAGAAATCACCAAGTAAGAAAAGGCATGGAAAAACGGGCTTGCATGAATGGGTGTGAATGAGGCGTGTTGCATGAAGCACTTTGTAGCACGCAGTCGTAAAGACGTTTATGAGAGTGGCACAAACAAGATTTTCAAATATGTCAGTAATAGACCAGATGAATGTGAGACTGATAACTGTGATGTTCTGGCAGGGAAGTCTGTGTGTTGGATTTAATTATGCGGACAGCCACTACAACACAGATAGCAACAAGTGTGCCCCAGACTGGCAGTTTTCTGTGCTGTGTGTTCACAGTATAAGGGTCGAATGTTAGGTATGTCAGCTCTCCCCAAACGTTCCTGTAACTCGAGTCGAGCCCACCTCGTGACCTTTAGGCCACACCTAGCCCAAACAACGTTGGCCAGTGCTAGAAATCAAGTGCCATAAGTGGCCCAGATTATATCCTAATGTGTGGACTATCTGGGAACATGTGCAGTTTTGATTGAAGGTTTCCTGGATGCACCTCTGACTTAGTGATGCAAAGCTAAGAGCACGATGTAACTTTAAATCCATGACTGTAAACTAACTAGCTTAACTTAACTTAACTGTAACTTCCAGCAAGAACCACCAATCAGCTGTGATGTACAGTTTTTATTACACCAAGAGGCCAATGACCCAAAATATGAATTTAAATG